CAGTAAACGGCAATTCGGAATACCAAGTACAGCCAGGTCGTTCTCTACCTGGTCTTTCCAGCGGGTACTGCATCGAAAACTTTCAAAGCTGGAGTACGGATCACATGACCTAGCCAGCGTAGCTGCTGCTTCTTGATTCGCTGAACTCGTACAACTCATTGTTTCATCGTCTGCTATATTCGCCTTTGCGAATGCGCAAAGGACCGTAGATCTTACGCAAAACCTTTCTCTCGAAAACTTCTAGCGCCGTCTCACCAGGCGTCGTCATGCTTCCGCACCATATAGCAGGACCGGAACGATGAGGAACTTTTAGAATTTGGTTTTCGTTCGTCTGGAGAAGACTTTACTTTTCAGGTGCCTGCTCAGTTCAAAGTAGCACCTGTTGGCAAAAGCGATTCTGCGTAGTATTTCAAGACTGACATTATTGTTGGTGTTGATGCTGGTTCCTAGGTAGGCGAAATTATCTACAACTTCAAAATTATGACTGTCAACATTATGTGGGAGCCAAGTCGCGAATGCGATGACTGTTTGTTTGATGACAGGAGATATTTCGCTTCGCTTCTTTATCAAGTCTAGAGAAAGCAGAACTAACGGCACGGTTGTTGACGCCTATAATGTCAATATCATCGGCGTACGCCAGTAGTTGTACACTCTTATAGAAGATTGTACCTTTTTTATTCAGTTCTGCAGCTCTTATTATTTTCTCCAGCATCAAATTAAAAAAGTCTCACGATAAGGAATCACCCCGTCTGAAACCTAGTTATGGTATTGAACGGCACGGAGAGGTCCTTCCCGACCCTGATGGAGCTTTTGGTGTTGCTCAAAGTCAGTTTACACTGCCGTATAAGTTTTACGGGGTTAGCAAATTCAGACATAGCGACATAGAGGCAGCTCCTATTCGTGCCGTCGTGCTATTAAATTTATTAAGAGATGGTGTATCGACACACATGCTCTTTTCAGGGGTATTTTTTAAGATTTAACGCTTGGTGAATATCTGGTCAATGGTTGTCCTATCAGGTCTGATTCCACACTGATAATGTCCAATCAGCTTGTTGACGGTGGGATATAGTCTTTTATACAGTACGCATGAGAGGACTTTATATGAGATATTCAGGAGTCTTGTTCTACGGTAATTGGCGCAGACTGTGGGATCACCCTTTTTATAGAATGGGCACAGAAGAGTTAGGTTCCATCCCACCATATTTTTCAAAGAAGCTGATGCATGCACCTGATCAGTTCTTCGCCGCCGTGTTTGAATAGCTTGGCTACTCATCCACTAATTCTCGCAGCTTTGAGTTTTTTTAAGCGGGCGATTGCTTCTCTGATTTCTTCACAGTCGGGTATGGGAACGTCCTTTCCATCGTCACCGATTGGGGTTTCGGGTTCGCGATCTACTGGTGTTTCATTGTCACTGCTATTTATCAGGCTGGAGAAGTGTTCCCTACATAAATGCAATATACTCTGGGCATCGATGGCTGGATCAACCCTTTGTGTGCTACAAGAGTCTGCTCTGGTCTTGAAACCTTCCGTAATTCGTCGTATCTTCTCATTGAATTTTCGAGCATTATCCTTGTCGGTCAGCTTTTCAATGCCTTCATACTCACGCATCTCGGCCACTTTCTTTTGTTGGCTGCAGATGCGTCTTGCTTCTGATTTTGCAATTTCGATTTGTATGTTTTTGAAATCCAAAGACCTTTCTTTGTCTTGGATTTGCCATAAATTTATATCTGAATATATTGCATATGTGTATAGAGTAAATTTAACAGGTGCTATTGTATAAATTTCCATTTACACCAACTCACCAAAAAAAAAAAAACAAAAACAAAATATAAAAGTAGCAAGACCGTAAAGCATGCTATTAAAGACAAAAAAGAAAACGAAACAAAAAAGAAACGAAAAATCGATTACAGATAATGGTGAATGGTATCCTTGTAACGCTCCTTGCTCGCTCCTTCACAAACGAAATGAGGTCAGTGTCGGGCATTCGACAAAGTCACTGGCAATGTCATTGTCCGTCACCAGCGCACATTCCACGACGCATTCACAGACATTCACAGACCGCCGGAATGTGTCCGAAATTATAGAGTGAAATTATTCCTGCCAAGCGCTTCCTGTACCCACACACAGCCATACACACACACACACACACACGGTAGGTCAATATGAACTTGAAATTACATTTAAGCCCTTTCTGACATTGCGTTGCTACTGACCCTATTACAGCAGTTGTTACTTCAAAAAGCCAATTTATACAGTTGGCAGCATAAATATAATGAGAAATGGCAAAGCGCGGTGGCAGAGGTAGTTAAAGAGGTAGCTAAGGGTGGGAGGAAGTGAAGCATATACAATATTTATATTTGTGCGCTGGTGATGAGGAAATTGGCCTATCACATAAATTTGTGGAAATGCATAAATATATGTAAATATGTATGTATGTGTGTAAGTATGTATGGCTGAGTGTATTATTCAAATACAATACGTTCCGGCACATATGCTTTTGTTTGTTTATTTCCTTGCTTATTTATAACGCTCCGTAGAACATATTCTTTGCCTGCCCGCCTGTTATTTGTTGTTGCTTTTTGCTCATTTTTAGTGCGACTTGCGAAGGGGTCGCCCGCTTCGTTTGCTATGTCGCATGCATGCACATGTGTTTGTTTTCACTTTTGGTACATAAAAAATTAATAAGAAAATTTAGGCATGAAAGGAGACGGCAAGAAAGTCGCTTGCACTTTTTGTGCGTTGTTAACCTTTTTTTTTATCATTTTTTTATCATTTTTTTTTTATATTTATGACGCTTTTTTGGATTTTTTTTTCATTATTTTTTTTCTCTCTTTTGCTTCTTTTGGGTTGAGAATTGTTTGTCCACATCTGCTTTTAATAACTCATTCACTTTATGTTTCTTCTAAATGCACACACACACGTTTATAAAATTGACTTTATAGGGCTGCAGTAAATTTGTAACTCAATTAAATTTTTTAATTTATTGTTAATATTTTACACACCTTCTTATATAAATATCTTATGTCCGCTTAGAAAATTGCAGTTATATCCAAAAATATCCAAAAGTTGCCCACGAATTGACTTGAAATCTCGTCAGATTACTTCTATGATACCTTAGAAGGTTTTACAAAAACAAACACATTCGAAGAAACCTTATTTAGAAGGATATGTCAGACGCAGCTCCACCACCAACGCAAGCATTCGCCATGTGATTCTCTTCGGGTTTCGACGTAATTTATAGCCAACAGAAATATTCAGTGAATGCCAAATCGCATATGGAACGATTGCACCGTCTTTAGAGACTATTTCTACGTGATACCGAAGATTCCAGACTGGACATTTTTCCGTAGAGGACGAGCGCCGAAAACGTCGACCAAAATCTTCCACTGATGGCGTCACTTTAGCTCAGTTGAAGTCCGAAATTGACGAATCTTCACAATTGACACAAGAAATGTTTGCTAAATAACTGGGCTTAAGTGCCTTGACTGTATCGCGAATATTAAATAATCATCTGGGATTCGGCTCGATGGGTACCAAAAATTTTAAATTAGGCCTCAAGTGCATTATTCTGAATTTTTCCTAAACAAATTCGAAAAAGGTCAGTCAGCAACTCTAGTAAAATCATTACTGGTGACGAATCTTGGTTCTATAAGTATGATCCAGATACCAAACCAAACAGTCCATGGTATAGGGCCCAACAGAAAAATCTCAGCAACAAAAATCAGCAGCAAAAGTAATGATGTCAGTTTACTTCACCCGATCTGAAATCATAGCTGCTATTCCACCTGAAAAGAATCAGAAGTTAACTCTATATTGAAACACCGTAGAAATCTTACCAAAAGTTTTAAAAAATTTGTTGGAAAACAGGAAGACAGGGGACTTGCGGCCACACTGCTGAATTAACGAGTAATTTTATTGCGATCTCAGGGATCGAAGAAATTTTTCCAGCGCCATATTCCCCGGATAAAGTCCTTTATGATCTCTGGTAACTACCAAACATTAAAAGGAAAGCTCTTTACAAGAAACGAGGAGATAATTAACGAGGTTAATGCTGAGCTTGGTAAGCCTAAAAAGCAAGATTTCGAAGACAGTCTTCAGAAGTGGATCTATAGGCTTAAGAAAAACACTGAAATCAATGGCGAAGATGTAGGGAAGATAAGTGAACAAATGCCCTCTTATATACGTTTGTAGCTAAGCATACTTCAATTTCAAAAATTTTTAGATATGAGTTTCATTAGGTGCACAGATTTCCTTCCGACCCTATTCTACTTAAGCGTGAAAGTAGGATTCTCTCTGGAACGCGTGGAATCTCGCCAAAGAAAGTTGGTTTGCCATCTGGGTTAACCTCGTTTGAATTTTGTTCCAAAAAATTAGTTAGCTGGAGATGAGCAGAATTGTCTCGCTTTGAGAAAATTATCAGAGGAAGTTGCTAAGATTTCATAATTCACCAAGATCTGAGTCATTTCATAGCATGTAGAACCAATTCACTCTCTAACCGCTGAAAGCAGACTATGAATAATGAGCAACAACTTGGCTGCTAAAAAAAACGAGAGCTACGATAATCACAATTAGTTGGAAACACCAATGTGCTCGATCAGAGGGTCAAAGACATCTTTACAAACAACTCAAAGCTCGATGGAAAAGTGAGTTGTGGAATCTCTTCTCCGATACTCTTTTTCAAATATGTGCCTGAGACAACCAGACCACTTTAGTGTCTTTCGAGCAGAACGCTTTGCAATCAAATTTTAATTTTAAATCTGCAGCAGCCGGTCAATCAGTAGCGACAGTTATGCTGCCTTCAGATCTCTCTTTTAGAGTGTATTTCTGACTTGAATCAAAGGTCCTCATAAAAAAAACCATCAGCCGTTCGGAGGCGGCATAGTATAAACTGTAGGCCTTCCACGCAAAACGACAAATTTAAGTGGGATCTTGGCTGAAAATCGCGTCAGCGATTACAAAAAGCCACTGCCATATTATAATCAGAACAAACTCCCGACTAAATGCAACACTGTCGTGATCTGGGTACTCATACTGACATAACGACTGGCATAATAACACACAAAATGATTGGATCAGTTGAAATGGTGACGATAGCAGCGTCACAACGTTATCAAAATGGGCCTATTTCCCGAAGTGCGCTGGTAATGATCAACAACTGCAGCAACTCTGCTCAACTCAAGTCATCTGTTTATCTTCCATTCTTGGCATGTGCATCTAGCCAATAGTAGTTAACAATTTTACTTAGAAGATCCAAAGAGACAAAAATTAGTGGCAGACGTTGGTTTTTTTTTAATTTCTTAGTTGGACTAAGTCTTCCATTGATTTCAAAGCATTACATTGGATTCTGTGATGATCCTAGATGACAGCCGAGTGGTAAGTAGAGTGTGTTACCAAGCGGAAGATCATAGGTTCGAATTTGGGTAGATCAATAACCGAAGCTAACTCTTTAGATATTTGTCTGACTTGATATATAAAGTTGCACACTGAAAGCATTAGCCGTTCGAAAGCGACGTTGATTAAGCTTTAGATCCCTTCATTTGTTTGTTAAAATATCAAATAGAGGATCAGCTCTTTGGCATGCTCATTGGGGTCGATTTGCGAGCTCTAATTCTAAGGATTTATTCACTATATTCTACAATGACCTCTTGTAGTTTTTCATTAGTATTATTATTGCCACTCTTCGAAGCTTACCGAAAGAAGACAGCGATTCTGAGGCACCCACAGCAACTCTTCTTGTTCTGCTCATGTTTCCAGCTGCCTCTTTGAACAGCACAAAATGCTGAAAAGACGTAGGAAGAATGGTTACTTAAATAAGAGTGAGTTCAAAAGGATTTTTTGGCCTGCTGCCAGCCAGGTTTTGAGATCATGTGAAGAATTTCATAAACATCTATGCCATAATATGAGTTCCTGAAATTCCAGCGCAATCGATAGTTCTCAATGCATTAACAGGAGCTAAGCCCATAATTATGAATTTCACAAGCGTTGTAGGAGATTCCCTTAGTCTTGAGAGTAGCCTTGAAACAATTAGATAGATTTTTGATATAGTGAGCGGCACTGCAATAGCGAAATAAAACGTATCGAGCGCTCTCGGTGAAAATAAAAATCAAACTTCACACATCGCTTAAGCGAACCTTCCAATTATATGATGCAATGGCTTAAACTATGACATCATTTTATGACTCGATATTAACAGACTCGAAAAAGTTTTGTGGTTGAAACGATAGACTGTACGAGAAATACGGTGCATGTCCTTAACCGACTATTTGTCATCATCGGCTTTTTAATGTAGTTGTAGTTGTATTCAAATTATATTACCCATATGTCCTTATATACAGATATATGTGCGTTTTGCAACTAAATGACTTCCCGCTTAGTACTATTAATACAACAACAGTACAGTGCGTTGCCTGATACGAGATCCCTACAGCACAAGCGTCAATATTGATTAAAAGGACTTTTACCTTTTTACAAACACATAATCATCAATCATTGTTGGCCAAACACATACAAATATTTACAATACAAACAAATACACATCTATTACAAATTGGTAAAAAGGAGAGAAAAAACTGTGTAACATGTTGTCAACAACACGGTAATCGGCAGCTGAGCTGACATTGATGACAAATTGACATAAAAGCCAAATCCTTCCTTAATTCCAACCTCAATCCAATGCTCAAGAGGATATTGGTTTTTTTTTCATTTTGTCAATTTTGACATGTCTATGTATGTATTTAGTTACATAGTGTGTGTGTGTGTATGTGTGGAGTTTAATGGTTTTATGCTCTCCTATAGAAAGTGTGTTTAAAGGGTTTCTACTGACACACTTTGATTAGTATTGATTAAAAATACATTTAGCTACGTATAAATATATACATATGTACATATATGTATATGTATGGGTTGCTTAAGAGCAGCCATTTCCATTTGCTGTTATTATTATTATTTTTTTGCTTGCAGATTTTATTAGAGAGATCTTTTTATAGTAGTTTTTTTGTAAAATATTTTTTAAATAAAAAAAAGTCTGAGATGGTAACCATATGAGGTTAATAAAAAATTTTCTTAATAATCATAATACAGTGACTATAAAATGTTCAATCACCAATAATTGGGATTTTTTTTAATTGAACTTGTCGCTGAAAAAGTAACTGTTAACAATTTAGTTGGGGTTTTTTCGCTCTGATTTAATTTTTATTTTCGTTTGTTATATTTTCGCTCAGAAGTAATGATTATGTTCTTTTTTTTTTATCAGAAATAATCATTATCTCAATATTAAAATTTTTTGATCAAAAATAAAAACTTTCACTTGAGTCGTATTTTTTCATCAATTGGAATTTTAAAATTTTCTAATAAGGCAAATTTAAAGCTCAGATGTAACCATTACTTTTAAATATAAAAATCGAAAAAAAAAAATTTCTGAGTGAGAAGTAAAAATTAAAATTTATTCTTATTTATTATTAATTTTAATTTTTATACATATTTATCACACTTCAAAATCACTGTGGAGACGCAAAGAGCCTCTATAAATACGCTTCTACATACACAAAAATCTTTCATGCGATAAGTCGAAGCTTTTGTTTTTTTTTCAATGAAAGACCAAAAATATTGAATACTTCGATCTCTGTAAAAAATATATATTAATTGTTTTTAAATTACAAATATCGTTGTGAGTGTTTTTACGTAAATTTTTTTTTTGCTAAAAAAATTTTTATAATTTTTTCAATTAAAAAATTAATTAAAAATTATTTTATTAAAATTTTTTTATGAGAGTGTTTTTTAGTAAATTTTATTTTATTATTATTAAAGTATATTTATAATTCTTTTTATTAAATTTTTTTTATGAGAGTGTGTTTTAGTAAATTATTTTTTTTTTATAATTTTTTTTAATTAAAAAAACAATTTATTGAGATTACTCTTTTTCTATGATAAATGATTTATTTTTCTAATTAAAAATTTTTATAATTGTTTTAGCTAAGAAATATTTATAATTTTCCAATTAACAAATTATTTATATTATTTTTGTATTAAAAAACATTTATAAAAATTTTTATATATATTATTGGAAATAAATAATTGTTTTTGAAACATAGTAAACATTTTTTATATTTATATATATTCATTATTTTTTCTTTATATTTATCTTTACAGTACGAATGCAAGGTACAAAATCTGAAAAAACGTAAAGTCACCATCCATATCTCAGTGAATGGCGTGCGTGTGGTGCTGAAAAAACGCAGAAGAAAAGTAAGTTGAGTTTATTTTCCAGTTTGGAGCTGGTCTTGAGCGCATTTATGAATTTATTTTGATACAACAAAAAAAAAAAAATCAATCGAAAATCTGTGAAATAGGTTTAATAAAACATTGCTGAATTAGTTTCAAGATGGCTGTTGTCCAGTATTTCTCCGAAGATGCCGTTTAATTTTTGTCCTGAATCCAAAACTAAAATTTTTTAGTTTCTATATAACAACAGCAATAGATGTACGTAGGTTTTCGTTTCGTTATTTTGTTGTTTTTTTTTTCGCGAAATGATGCAAATTTGAACAAAAAGATAAAATTGTCACTATAAAAAGGACATAAAATTGTTGTAATATAAGAAAACTTACGTCTCTGGAGAACGATATTTAAAATGTACTGTCATAATTTCGTAGTAATCGGTGAACATTTTTCCGAGTTATGTCTTTGATCAGTTTAATAGAAGTGATTTAGTATTAAAGGCGCTCGGGGCGACCGGTGAGGCACTGCCTTAGAATGAAAAATTTTAGCATCTGCTGACATATATATTTTGATATATTATTTCTAAGACCCTAAAGCACATTTGACGACAAAAAAAAATCGATTTATTCAAATTCTGGACCGACCCCTCTTCAATATATATATATATATATATATTAATTTATTTATTTTTTTTTATAAAAATGAAGTTTTGTTAACACAAACTGACATTAAATTCTATTACATGAAAAAAAAAATTTATTTTTCAATAAATGTTTTTAATGAAATAAATTAATTTCTTTTAATAATGTTTTACCTTTTTTCACACTCAGCTAGTTCAGCAGTTTTACTTGTTTTGTTAATAAAAATGCTTTTAAACAAAGTCAGGCTTTTCTCTTTGTTTTCTACACCGAAAAAGAACTGATATTTTCTTGATAAAAATATTTTCTTACGTATAAGTTTTTTTTTTATATATTTTAAATAGTTGTTTACAATTTTTATTAAATAATTTTTTATTATAAAAGTAAAGGTTTTTTATTAACTATAATACAAAGCTCTTTACTTTAATATATATTTTTTTCTGAAAAAATTAGATAATTTTTCACGTGTTAATAGAAGTCAGTAACAATTTTAAAATTCAGCGTTTTTAAATATTTTTTCTAATAAAATTTCTTTTACTAATAATTGTGTTTTCACCTTTATTTTTCGCACGGAAAAATTATTATTATTAATATATTATATGTATATATTATAAGTATTTTCTTGATAAAAATATTTTCTATTTTTATTTTTTGCCTTAAAGTTAATTTATATGCATGTATATATTTTGGCTTTTAATTTATTTGGCGGCCTGTCTTTTAACTTTAAATTCATTTTGTTTGCTTGCACAAAAACATTGTGCCTTTATTCATATCAACCTCGAGCTGGAAAACCATAATTAATCATTTTTTATGCATTTTTTTACTGTTATCACATTTTTTTTATAAAGTTTTTTTTAAGAAAAATAATTTTTTATTAAATAAAAAAATTATTTTCTATATATTTTTTAGTAAAAGATAATTATTTTTAATAATTTTTTTCTGTTTTCGCCACACCAGTTATAATTTTTTTTTTAATATATTGTTAATAAAACTGCATTGATTGAAAATTATGTTATCATTTTTGGTTTCAACACAGCAAAGAAAAAACTATTTCTTACAAAGTTTTTTTTCTTACATTCAATTTATTTATTTTTATACATTTTTTTTCGTATTAATTGATTAATTATATTAATTTTGTTTTGGCATAAAAAAATTTTTTTTTGTTCATATTGGTCTTGAGGCGGCAAACAAAATTAATTTATTTTTTATATTTTTTTAACAGTTTTGGTATAATATTAAATATTTTTCTTATTAAAAAGTTTTTTCAGTAAAAAATAATTCTCTATTATTTAAAAAATCTTAAAAATATTTTAAAATAAACAATAAAATTAAACATTTTTTTATTCTTTCTACACAAAGTTAGTTTAAATCTTTGTAAGAAAAATCCATTTGTGCTTTCCTTTTGTTTTCGCAAAAACACTTTTATTTTCTTCATAAAAATATAAACTTGTTACATACGGTATAATTTTTTTTTTAGATTTCTTATATAACATTATTATATTAATATTATTTTTCTTTTTTTACTCACAGAAAAAGAACTGGACAAATGACGCTGAAGAAATCGAATTACTCAATCATCCCATTTATAGAATTTTCTATGTGTCACACGATAGCAGCGATCTCAAAATATTTAGTTATATTGCACGAGATGCCAGTACAGACACATTCAAATGCTCCGTTTTCAAAAGTCATAAAAAGGTAAGTGGCTTTGAAAAAATTGACAAAATTATGTATACTTTATTAATTTTATTTAAATATATTAATATGAAAAACAAACGTGAAAGCGCGCGTACTTTTTGAAATTTTTTTAGTAGTAATTTTTTTACCATTAAACATGTGCTACTTTTTCTTTAAAATATCTATGTATTCTCTTAATGTCTCATAATTCCAATTCGTTTTCTGCTTTTTTTCTTCTTCTTTTTTTTTGTTTTGGCTTATCGCTGACACTTTCTTCACTCGCTTCTCTGACCGCAATTACAATATTGGTTTCACTTTTTTAATGATTTTTCAAAGAAATCTCCTAAAATATCACGACTTATGTTTTATAAATATTTATATACATACATATTTGTTTGGCCATTGGCCAAATGCGAAAGTAAGTCAAAGTAATTTGTGCAAAAAGAGCGAAATATAATTGAATTGAGTAATTATTTTCCAGTGAATTTATTTATAAAAATAGGAAAGAGTTGTTTTCATAAAAGAGTGTTCCCCCTTTTATTTAATTTCATTTATTAAATTTTTTCGATATTAAAATCTTTATTGATTCCAGAAAGTAATACGGCTGAAGTGCTTATTGCTTGCAATGGAACTTACATTTTTATAGTTCATATCAGACGCCATACATGCATCCCTTTAAAAGTAAGCGGTTGGCGTCTGCGCAGCGTCAGGTCTCTCCTATGGCATTGGGTAGAGAAATTTTTTTTTAACGAGCTAAAGTTTTTGTTGGTACCTTAGGAGTTGCTCAATTTCTGAGAAAATCGTCAGAAACATGAAATTATTAACGAATTGCGAATTCAACGGCTTATGGGATCAATACACCCACTATAGCAGCTAGAGGTAGCTTCGAAACGTAAATATTAATCAGTAGCGGAGAAAAGAAAACACCTACAGAAATTCTGTTTATTTTCCTTTTTTTTTCAGGGTAGACCTTGAGCAACTAGATAGTTCGTAAGCCCCTCTTAAACTAGGTAGATAATTAGCTCATTGCAGTCCTCACGCTGCTGGTATCATTACTTAGGGGTTAATCCCTAAAGTTACTAGCCCTCAGAGTGGGTCGCTTTTGGCTGTTGTTTTGTGCGTACAATGCCGCTGTGTGCGAGATTCATCTTGTAAATTTTTAATATTTGACTAGTTTCTTACCAAAGTGTTCTCTCTTATAAAATACCTGCCAAAAGTGCAACAGGTGACCTTCCATTAGATTGAGGAAAACCAAAAGAAATCATCTATTCAATGGAATTTTCAATCTTTGCGCTTGTGGAAGTGGAATTTCCACTGAAGTTCACTTTCATTTCAGTTTTATCTGTTACACATGGTAAAAAGCTCTTGAAGATATTTAAAATTTCCTCATTTTATGCACGTTTAAGGTAAGATTTCGCGAACTCTTAGCAAAACAAACGAGTAATTCATGAATGAAGGTAAATATATACTTCTGATTGAGGAAAATTAATTATCAGAATGAAATTTACTACATTTTGGAGTATTTTTGGAAGCTTAAATTAAAAGTGAATTCATATTGCCTACTGAGTTATACAAAAAAAAATTAGAATCTGTTCAGCTGCGTTAAATCGATATGTCTTTATTTGGAAAAAAAAAAAATTTCAAAAAATATTTCAAAATGTCTTACTAATCAGTACCAGCGTTTTAATGAATAATCTTCAATATTTTCATTTATTAGTCGGTGAGTCATACGTATTTGCACTTTCAATCATAATTGGAAATGCTGGTGAATATGATGTATAAAAATTAATTTATAAACATCCAAATCGACTTTCTTTTTTTTTTACGAAAACAAAACAATTTTATTAACGGCACTAAATTAATATTGCTCAAGAATTAAAAGCAGATGCCCGTAGACTTTTCAAACGTAGCGTATACGCACTGTTGTACTTTAGCTCACACTTGAATTGTGGAAGTGGGATATGTCTGCAAATAATCGTTTTGCCAAATTCGTTATAAATATAATTATTGAAAATTAAACAATTTGATAAATACATATAATCGAAATTATAGCAGAATAAAGAGGAACAAATAATTTTTTTCCTTTTCCAAATTCTGAATAAAACTGAATGGAAAATTTATTAATGTATGAAATATTCTTTTTTGTTGTAATTTAAAGAGATTAAAAATCCCATTAATAGCTACACAGCACACTATAGATACATACATTTTCTTTTAATACCTATCTATGTACCCTAAGTATAATCAACGCCGAAAACACATCTGTGACGTCAAGAATAATGAGATACAAGGCAGGTCAATAATTACTTCTGCGGACTAATAATTCTCTGTACCATACACACACATACGCGCACAAACAAACACACAATTAAAAACAAACGAATGGAAAATATAAACTCGGAGTAAAAGGAAAATAATATTACGCAGACATACAAAAGTACAATTAAAGCGGGCATATAAAATAAGAAATAAAAAAAATTATTTAGCCTAAAAAATGGCTAAGAGGAGTGCTTGCATACAGACAATGTTTCGTTCAGCCGTAAGTTTACCGTATTGCAAAAAAAAAAAATTATACGCAAACTTTTACGTACTTAAGGTAGCGAAGCATGTGAGCGTAGCGGCGTATAAAAGTGCTGGCAAAAACAAAAACTAAAACAGAAACAATAACGGTGATGGAGGCCAACATTGGAAACATATATGAGCACATATATATGCACATAAGCAATAATGATAAACAGCAAGCAGTCAGAGCGCTAATGGATTGGTCTTTATTTAGACATAATTCAGAGAAAATTGAATTTTTCAAGAGAAACCCCACAAACTAAAATTCTTTTTATACTTACTGAATGAGTAAAATGAACCAAGCCTTAATAGAATTAAATAAGTTAAAACAAAACATAAAATTATTAAACTTAAATTAAAAAATAAAATAAAACAAAACTGAATGAAATAAAATAATATAAACTCAAATAATATAATATAATGTAACAAAATAAAATTAAATTAAGTTAAGTTAAATAAAATTAAAAGAAATAAATTAAAACTAAATGAAACAAATTGAAATAAAATAAAATAAAATAAAATACAATAAAATAAAATAAAATAAAATAAAATCAAATAAAATAAAATCAAATAAAATCAAATAAAGTCAAATAAAATAAAATAAAATCAAATAAAATAAAATATAATGAAATGAAATTAAATCAAATTAAATTAAATTAAATTGAATTAAATTAAATTAAATTAAATGAAATTGAACTAATTTAAAAAAAAATATAATGTAATAATTTGAAGTTAAATAAAAACACAAATTAAATTAAATTAATAGAGAATAAATTAATGAAGTAGAAAAACTAAATCAAACAAAAGGAAATAAATTAAACATAAACTTAAATAAAGAGACAAAAAAAGGCAAGAAAGTAAAATAGTAGGATACAACAACTTCATCAAACTTTAGAAATGAAATGCTCGAGAGAAGACAAGAGATATAATAACAAGAATAAAGATAAGCCGACGGTATTTCGTTTATTGTAAACAAGATGAGAATAAGAGAAAAATTGAGTAAATAAGAAGATATAACCAAAGGAAAAGTCCAAAAAATATCAATCAAATCAAAATATCAAAAGGCAAATCGAGCGTCACGAGAAAACCGTGGATATCAATCAAATAAAAAAAGAAATGGAAACTCACATTCAGCCGCTGATGTTTGTTGTGAAGCAGTGTGCTACAAAAATATTAGAGAACAAAGGAAAATTTAGCTCTGCTGGTCGATAGAAAGAGCAACAATAAAAGTACTGGAAATACTTTTTGACGCGAGGCAATGGAAAATCAGAGAGAAAGTGCGAGTGAGAGTATACAGCAAAATTCGGAGAAAACATATGGAAATGGAAGAAAGCTTTCAAAAGCTTTGTATAAAAACGTCATCGATGGAAATTAACCAGATCATTGAGGGTGTTGGAACGATTGATCGGACAGCTAGGCAGTCAGCCAGTCAACCATATGTATTTCAATACGACGCTCCCAGCGCGCAGTAGTGGATATCGCGGAACGATCGACGGGTCATAGAAATAGAAACCGACGGTTAGCACGAATATCCAGCTATTGGAGTTGTCGTTGAAACAGTTCAATAACTTCTTCTTTTTCAAACGAAGAGCTGGGCTACGTAATCTATAAAGTTAAAAAGAAATTGCATTAATTTTATTAAAAAATAAAGTGTAAACGTAAGAACTGTGCTGAAGTGAGTTTATCTTGTGAAAAAAAAATCAAAGTAAAAATCGCTTAAAAAAATTATAAATTATAAAAATTTTTATAACCGTTTTACAAACAAAAAAAATAAATATTAAAGAGAGTTTTTAGATTTTAAAATTTTCTTAAATAATATATAAAATAATATACTTGAAGTTGAAAATTTTTCAACACAACAAATACCAATTTCTTATTCCAAGAACATTTTCATTTATATGTAAATGAATGAGAATTTTGAAGAATTTTTTCTTGTAAACGTGAGTAAAACATCGAAAACTTGCCGAAAATTTTTTTCAAAATTTTTAGAAAATTAAAAAGAAAAAAACAGAAAAACTATTCGACATACAAATGTAAAATATAATTTTATGGTGTTAAAAGTGATTTACAGTGAAAATAATAATGGTGTATTAGTGGCTAATAAGGAACACATGTACATCTGTAAGTGGCAGCAGGTGCACGTTAATACAAAAATCACACAAGAAAAATTAAAAACAAAAATACAAATATCTTACATTATAATTAACAAGCCGAAATTTACGTCGCAAATCTTGTTAAATTTTTTTTTTGGAATTTTTTTTAATTCTCATTTTTTTTATTTAATTTTTTTTATGTCTTATTTCATTCCATTTAATTTTTTTTTTTAATTTTGTCTTTTAATTTGTATTATTTATTTTGTTGCTTGCAAACCAAAGTCATTTATACAAATATGACAGACGAAATTAGTTTGCCTCGAATGTTAAAACTATGAAAACTGAATTAACCGCAAATGTTGACTGTCAGTTAGCGTTTAAAGGTGTGTGCGTGTGTTCGTGTGTGTGGCTTGCTGACGACATTAAAGACGCGCGCTGTTGGTGTCGCCAATATTGAGGAAAAAAGTCACATAAAAGCTCAAATACATACATATAAACAATAATACAAAATGCGCATAAGAAATAAAGCATATTATGTATTACATACACATTTACTCAGTGTCACTCTCGCGTAAATGGCTTCCCAGATTCCAAACATCAATTTCAAATTCAAATGAATTTTTAAAACAAAGCAAACAAAAACAATACTAATTCCAAATCCAATCGACGATAATTAAATAATAACCGAACAAATAAAAAATAAAAAATAAAAACAAAATTTCCGTAGGAGAAAATTAATTTAAAAAGCAATAGTAAAAGAATACAGCAGTTTCAAAAAAAATTAAAAATTAAAAATATATAAAAATCCCATCTGCAAAACGCGTCTATAATTAATGACTTTCCGCTTTAAATTTTTACAAAATTCGAAAATTGAAAAAAATTAAACACATTAATTTATGGACAATAACAAAGGCGACAAAACGCGTGCACAGGTGAAAAACTTACAAATCAAAACAAATTTTTTGTTGGCATTTCTCTTTGTTTAAACTAAAAAACATAAATGTGCTAAACAAATGCTGGTCGACATGTGGGAATTTATTTAATTTTTTTTTTGGCATAAAAAGCATTTAACATTAACTAGACGTAAATTTGGGTGTTATTAATGGAAAACAATAGATCAAAGCTATAATTCGGGATATTCGTTGTGCGTTTGTTTGTGTATCAGTGGATGTGCGTGGCGTATACGCAACATTTATAGATTTATTAATTGGTGTTTGGCTATTGGACATTATTTTCATTTTTATTTCTATTTTACAATTTCAATTTTGCCCTTTTTGTGAATGTGAAATACGCGAAACTTTTCGTTGTATGATTTTAATG